TATTCCCTGGTCATCTAAGCTTACAGATATTACAACTGTATGGGAAGGGTTTAGACGTTCACTGTCTTCCTTTAGGTGAATATGGCTCGTGTACATTCTAGAGCGAGGCATGATGTTCTACCTGCATTTGCTATTATTTATAATTTCTGCCAACAATGGGTTATGCACTTCCCTCCATTCTTACACAGGATTTACTGGCTATCATTTCATCTTTTTTAATACATCACAGCCATCCATGTGATGTACAAGCTGTACAATCATGGAGAAATGTCTGCAGGGGTTCTTCAATGTGCACAGTTGCCTGCCCTGCCATAGAATGGCTCCAGGCTGCTAGGCTTTTTCACTTCTCATATATATTTTTTTAATAGTTTATCTCTCTCCTTCCTTGCTGTCGAGCTGTCAGTCAGCTGTCACTTCTTACTGCTGTCAGTGAGCCTGCCTTTATCGCACCCCCAATGTGATGCTGCTAATCTGCTGTCAGCTGAGAAATCAGATAATCAAGACCTCTGAAATTGCATTCACAATATGTGGTGGGCTGAGCACAGGATGGAGATTTTGAGATATGAGTTCCAGTTCTTGTTCTGTCTGTATCTAGCTGTGTGGTTACCAGGAGACACTTAACTTCTCTGAACCTTAGTGCTTCCACCCACAAAATAAGGAGCAGAATCTGTGTGTGTGTGTGTGTGTGTGTGTGTGTGTGTGTGGCAGAGACAGAGACAAAGAGAGACAAAGAGGAAAGGAAAGAGATCTCATCCAAACTTGGGATTCTAACTTTCTCTGGCTACTAGAAAGAACATATGAAACTTTTCTGTGAGTTAACAGAATGCAGAATGGGGTACCACTGACTCTTTAATTGTCAAATTTCAAGGATATGTTTTAGTCATCACTTTATTTAACCTTGGTCCTCTGAATTCACTACTGACCTCATCTTCTTAAAGCCCTCATCCCTTTGCTCCAGAGGATAATTCTCTCAGTTTTGGCCTCCTGACTCTTTCTGTCTCCTTTCAATCCTGGGCTCTTCCTCCATCAACCCCAAAGGCCAGTCTGAAGTTCAAAGCCAGGGTAATGATGAGAAACCAGCAACAAGCCCGAGAAGTAGCAACCTGAGCGTCCTAGGAATCAACTGAAGAATATGTCACGGTGTGTCAATGCTGCTGAAATGTTAAAGAAGATGAGCACTGAGAATTGATCCCAGGATTTAGAGAGGCATGGAAGTCACTGGTAACCTTGACAAAAACAGTTTCAGTGGAGTAGCTATAAGAGGGAACAGTAGGAATAAAAATGGAAGCAAGTATAAACAACTCTTTCAGGAGCTTTTGCTACTAACAGAGAGAAAAGGAACAGGCAATAGCAGAAGGGTGAAGTGGAATCAAGAAAGAACTTTTTAATTTTAAAGATGTGAAACAAATGGCATATTTCTTATGCTAACAGTAATGATCCAAAAGACAGAAAAACTGATGATGCAGAACAAGGAAGGACAGATTGCTAGGACAGTGGTCCTTAGGTATGTACGAAGGAGGGACTCTGGTGGAGGCAAGGACCTTACAGAAAAGCAAAGTCACTTCATCCATATTAATAAGTGTGAAGATAAAGAAGATGCACCTAGAAGTACATGGACGGGCAGATGTGGCGGTGGCAGCATATACAAATTCTCTGCAGACTGCTTCTGTTTTCTCAGTCATGATCTGAGAATGAAGATATAATATTTGTTATCAGAAGTTTACAAAGCAAGAAAAATGCATGATTAGTTATCTAGACGATGGGAAATGTGGTCTGCTTGCCAGGCAGCTCAGAGGGACCATATGAATTCAGAGTAGACTAATAAGTATAGCTGGATGTTTCCCTCCTAATTAGATTAAAGGAAAAGTGCCAAAGAGAAAAAAAGAGACTATATGCAAGACAGCAAGTAACATGATCAAATATGTTGGTTGAGTCAAGGAGGAAGGAGCAAACTTGGGACAAGAAAAGAATCAAAATAAGGAGTTGGCTCCATCAATGGATGGTAGGTTCCTGTGAGGCCCAAAGACTGAGTCAGGATGAGAAACAGGATAATAAATGAACCTCTTTATATTAGGCTGCTCCTTTGGCAGGGTTCTCCATTTTCATGTGCTGATTAAGAGAGGGTAGAGAGGAAGAGGGTGCTTTATATTCAGCTGGCAGTAAATGTGCTAGGTTATATAACAGTGGGAGTGGGGAAATTAATAAGATGAAGTTGTCTTTACTACGGGGGCTATTATATACCAGGCATTTCACATATGCATTATTTCATTTAGTCACTACGCAATGCCTATGAGGTGATAAGGTAAATATAATCATAATATTAAAGAACCTAAGTTCAGGGTCATTACACTGACATAGGTCATAGAGCTAGTAAGTGGTAGTTAAGACTCAAATACATGTAAGTACACCTCCAGTGTTTAAGAGCTTTCCTATCTCCAAATGTTTAATACACATGATAGTTTGTTTTTTAAAAAAATATATTTATTAATTTATTTAGAGCATAAACAGGGGGAGGGGCAGAGGGACTGAAGAGGGAATCTCAAGCCAACTCCCTGCTGAGTACAGAGCCTGATGGAGGGCTTGATCTCATAACTCTGAGATCATGACTTAAGCCAAAACCAAGAGTTAACTGACTGAGCCACCCTGGCACCCAAAATACATATAATGATAGTTTAAAGTGATATTCTTTCTTGCTATTATTTTTCTGGTCCATGAGAAAGACAAGGCAGTGAGGAGTGAGGAGGGCAATAGGTAACAGCAGTTGCCAGGAAGCCCAATATTACTGACATCCTATGTGACCAACATGCTCTGAATTTTAACTGTTATAAGCTTTAGAAATCCTCATATTTTTTGCTGAAATACAGCTTTTCCCCTTCTCTGACTAATATCCATTATAGTATACACATTGCATTATAGCATATTGTATTAATAATTTAATTACATCTTCTACTTTGTTTTTACTTAAATTTATTTTTGCCATGACCAAATAATATTTATATAGGGAGAAAGATAGAAGCATTTAAAAGTTTTTTTTTTTAATCATCTTGGTTATGTTGCCTTTGGAATTACTAAATATTTTTCAACATCTCAACAAAATAATACTCTTTTAAGACTGCAGGCATTAGAATGATTGTCATTCATGCAAATAATCACTTACTTACACTATATGAGTTTGGGTTGGATAAAGCAAATTACCATTTGAAAATAATTCAAATAACACTCTGGGCTAAGACCTTGCTTATGAATGTTATCTTGGCCACAATATTTCTTAACCTTTTTCCATTTAGCTAGATTTATTTATGGTAATATAGTCCAAATTAATAAACTATTCAATTGCCACAGGTGTATTAAACATATGATGTTGTAAGGATATATCAGATGCAAATGAATTTTAAAACATATTATTTATCTGGAATTCTATAGTGGTAATAATTAAGATGTAGTATAATCACCTACTCAAAGATGTACATTTTGAGTATATATTATATGAAAACCTTGAAAACATGTCACAAAATAAAGTTAATATCTTAAAAGTATGACCTAAAATATAAACTGTGTTTTAACTAATCATAGATCTGAAGGATAACAATTATATTTTCCAAAAGTTGAAATTGTCTCATCCCACATATTATATATATATATATGCACAAATACACATTATTTATGCATATACATATTTATACATATACAAATATATAACTGGAAATCAATCTTGATCTTAGCTTCATTTGGCCTGAGAGTTGTCAAAACTGCAAATAAACAATTAAATGTTTTTGACAAATAACCTATAATGATAGGAAGCTTGAAGAGTTAAACAGAAAACTGAATAAAAAATCATAGAGTTTAAACTTTAATTGAGTCTGTGACCATAGTCAGCAGTGTGAGTACAAGCCAGTCTTTGCTTCTCCGGGCCTCTGCAATCTGAACTCCATAAAGTAAGAATTGGGCAAGGTTGTCTGACTTAAATTTTATGACTCACTAACTTGATTTGGTATTAGGCAGATTTTTCTTCAATGAAATATTAACTAGTAAAACACTCAAATAAATCAGCATTAAGAGTGCTGATGAGGACTACTGATCCCACAGCAAAATCTGGGTGAACTCAGTAAATCTAGAACACAGAGAGTAATTCAGACCTCCTGCATAACATGCATAGACATTAAATTGTTTCCTGCCTTCATTTCAGGGATGGGGAAGAAACAGCTGTCCCTGAACTTCTTTTAAGGGCATCATGAGTTACAAACAGCAGCATCCCCAGCTAGTATGAGTCCCACTGAAGTAAACTTTCTGTTCACATGGGGGAAATATTCCTACTGGTGATAAAAACCATTTTGCTAGGTTTAATCAGAAGTGAAAAGGAATTTGAGAATGTTCCCTTTGAGCCACATCATCCACTGCTAATTCAGGGTGGGCCCAGCAACAAGGGTAATAAAAAATGTCCTTAGTAACAGAGGAAGAGAAATGGCAATTAAGTGTATTTGCAACCTAATGTGGAAGACTTACTCTTAATTAAGACAATATGAATAAAAGAAATGGAACAAGGAAAAAAATAGAAGAAAATAGCATGGGAAATGAAAGTAACCCAAGCAGTGAAATTTAACATTGATTTACTTAGAGTGGTTGCTATATACATATAAATCCATGGGCATAAGCTGAATGCAAAGGTTGAGAAATATGCTTGACAATGACTTCTGTAACAAAACAACAAATAAAGAAACAAGACAGTAAGTGTCAAAAAAGCCAATGCAGCTTGCTTGAGGAAACCAATAAATAACGGAAAACAAAGGATGAACTCAATATTAGAACTAAACATTCAGTGATTGGTTGGACACAGGACTATTTAAAATGTTTGTAAATCACAGCATGTTGAAATAGAACTCGATTCTCTAATTAACCATGCTCATGCTGAAAAGTTATAATTGGCAAGAATGCCACCAATTTCTATACATTTGGGGAATAATTTATGACACAATATTGAAAATGGAGTCAAACATACCGACCTGCTCACATCAGGAAACCTGATGGGAAAGTAAATAACTTGGCACTTAGGTCTGATGATGCTTTCCAGATCCTTGGGTCTGTGATCAGGAATCAGCTTCATAAATTTTCCAATAGAGGTGAGAAATGACTCCATGTTAAAAATCGAGTTGAATACCACCACGTCAGCCACCAGGCTGTAAAGGGAAGGGATAAAAGCAAACGATGAACCCACAGTAATTCATAGTTATCTTTTATAAGCCTAAAACCTCTGTGTTAATCAGAGTTTATACTGTACTTGGGTTTGCAAAGAACTCTACACTTCCCATCAGTATTTACTACATCGCTTCTAATAGATAAGTTAGTTTCATTCCCATTCCATCATGGTAGGTTAGATTGCTGGCATCAGGGAGGAAAGGTAAGAGAGGAATTAAATGATTTATTGGGTTCTTATGAGGCTTCAAGCAAAGTTTATTTATTTTTTATTTTTTTGCAGTGTCAGGATTTTCTATATTATCAACAACAGTAAGTACAACAGGACCTTTTCCTTTGTGGCCCAAATGCCCATGTCGGATTTCTATGTCAGTGACACATATCATTTTACGCCATACTGTTGACTACAGAACACATGCCATACTTTTCAGTACCTTCAAGGAGAGTAGTTCAGATAAAGCTATTTCACATGAGAGCATACCTTTCAACGTGTGGTTAAAGTCTATTTCTTGTTTAATCGTTTCTTCAAGAAATCATTAGGTTTTTTAAAGTTCTGGAACTACACAGGAAGGATTATATGGGATCTCTACAAATAACTTATTTTACGATTAGAATATATTTGGGGTAGTCAAAGAAGAGGGGCCACAACACCATGGGCCTTTAACATTAAACAAAATAAATAGATTATCTATTACTTTTGATGGAAAGATTGTGTTCCTCCCCTTACTATTTTTTAAATACAAATAATCCAAAATACATCGTTATAAGGAAATGTGAAAACAAATTTTAAGTGTCATAAATATGTCAGCATTGTTCAGAACTGCCTAGAACATTTTGTTGAAGAACAATGAACACAAATGATAACTATGGGCAAGCCGGATAAAACCTGAATATGCAGCATGTTCCCTTTATGAGTCAAAAAAACTGACTTAATAAATAACTGTTTTGATTTTTTAACATGGTCCTCTTTGCTTTAAGCAATGATTCCATGTCAGTCTCACTGTCACTGGAACTCAGTAAAATGCACACAAATGTTTTAGTGAGAAGGTACATAAGCCCAAATAGCAGTTAGTTTGATTTCACCTTGAAAGTGACAAATCAAGAAAAGTCCATAAAAAGACACAAAAGTCCATAAATCTATAAAACACAAATTAATAGGCAGAGCTCACAGAATAGGAATATCATAGCAAACCCTCCATTTACTGAGGGCAGCCAAAGTTCCTATTATTAATACACAGCAGAATGAAAAACCTACAAAGGAATGTTGAATTGCCACCTTTATGCCTCCCCTGCAAAACTGTTTTTCCCTACAAGTATTTTTTTTTTTTTTAGTTGCAACCTAGTGGAAATTTGGGGGTAGGGGTGAGAACAGCATGGATAATACAAAAGAATGTCACAGAAGTGCTGACACAATACCAAGCAATAAGGAAGCCAATATAATAATATACCAAAAGTTGAAGGATGTTTTACAGCTAGTCTGTTTTCACCATATGTCACATATTGTAATAGCGACCCACAGGTCATAATATACAGTTATGACATGTGTTCATAAGTCAGAGGGTTAGTGAAACCTCTATTTAAGGTGAGTGCTTATGCCAGTCACCTCTGAGGTCCTTAACTGCCACTCGGTCAGGAAAGAAATCCGACAGTGCCAACAAAAGCAGAAGTCAGCAAGAAAACTAAAGAAACATTTGAGGAAGCAAGACTCATACTTTTCAAAGAGAATCTGAAACAGGACTGCCTTCTGACACTCTTATTTGTCCTCTGGACAACGGCAAACCATTTTTTTCTCATTAAGAGTCCAACCAATGATTGAGTCTACTTCTTTCTCCCAGAGCTTGTCTATCAGTTTACCCTCTTGAGAAGAGCAATGCTGGAAAATCATGTATGAGCTTTTATAGTCTCATTCCTTTTGAGGAAAAGCAATCTTTTATAAAATAGACGAGGGGCAGTGAGCTAAAATTTTTTATAGATATCTGCCCTCATAGGGCATGCAACCCAACTACTTATACTCTTAAAAACCCAGTCTATGCTAAATTAAAGATCCAAGACAGTCTACAGAAATATTCTTTTCATGCACTTCCTCTCTGATATGAGTGGGTGTAACTTCCATTAACTTTAAAGCCACCCATAAAGGGAAAAATAGACTTAATTTTTTTCCCCAGTTATTTCTCAGGGGTAATAAACACACACTATCTGAGGAAAAGAATGATGCTAATTCAAGAAATCAAAAGAATATTACAAATGTTTTCCATATTGATAAAGCACAAAATGATTTTATTTTTGTTTTTAAAACATATTTCCCTTCTCAGTTTCAATATAAAATAAAGTATTTTAATTTTATTATGAAATTTTAAAACGGTTGCTTTTTTATGAGACATTTGACGTGAAGCAGTTCCACTCTATTTTGATGGCACTGCTACTTCACAATTGAAGCAGCTTGTAAAAATGATTGCAGGAAAACATTTACAAAATACTCGAAACACAGAAATATTACCATATAGTTGTTTTCCTATGTCAACTAAACTATGGAATATGCTTGTAAGAGTTGGGAGTCTGTTTAAAGACATCATCAATCCCAATTGCTAATAACATTAAAAAAGGTAAGATGTATCCAATCACTGCCAACCTGATTCTATTCTATTGCTGCAGTTATATGAATAGGATCCAATACCAAAGCTGTTTCAGAGTTGTTATTAACTTCTTTCATTAACTAAGCTTCAAGAGATACACTTTGTTGAAGTAACAACAGAGATGGACCATCACCTTTGAAATGTCATGGTATTTTAAGGCTGTGCAATTTCAGAGGACTCAATGAGGGGAAAAAAAAAAAAAAAAGCCCAACCACCTAAAGATTCATTTTCCATAGTTTCCTCTTACAAACAATAAAAAAAAAAAAGGACAAAAACTCCTTGCTCTAATATGCTCTAATTTTTATTTCTTCCTCTGTAAATTTTTATGTTGACTTCAGCTGGATATACTGAAAGTGGTTGGTAAATGAAAACTAACTGTTCTTTTTAAAAAGTATTGTTTAAACAATACATGATGGAATCAAGGGGTGAAGAAGGTCTCTTGTCGACATTTTGATTCTGTTTTAAATGTTGTAGAAAATAGGTAACTTGTTCAACATATATTTAGATTGTTACACACGTGTATTTTAAAAGGGATTAGCCGTTTTCATACCTATATATCTGTATAGATATATAGTAAAGGCACAAGCAATTACTACCATGTAAGGTATGTTTAAACATACACACCTACTTTAAGAAGTTTTTAAAATAAGTGTACGGTAGGTCTCCAGATTTAAAAGCTAACTATAAAAAAAGGGGGGGCAGGGATCCCTGGGTGGCGCAGCGGTTTGGTGCCTGCCTTTGGCCCAGGGCGTGATCCTGGAGACCCGGGATCGAATCCCACGTTGGGCTCCAGGTGCATGGAGCCTGCTTCTCCCTCAGCCTATGTCTCTGCCTCTCTCTCTCTCTCTCTCTCTCTCTCTCTCTCTCTCTCTCTATCATAAATAAATAAAAATTTTTTTTAGAAAAAGGGGGGGGCAAAGGTCTAAATATAATGATATAATCTATACCTACCATGAGAGAATTTGGTTGTAACCATATTGGAAATCCCTCTCTTGACATTTCTTGACAGGATATACCAATTGGTTCTCATGGAAGTACAGAATCTTTTTCAATTTTCCAAGGTCAGGCCGAAGGGCAGCCAGTTCGGTCAGGTTCAGCACTGAGCTTGCAAAGAGGATCCTAGGAAACAAGGAAATTAAAGTTTACTGACCCAAGCATGCGTGAAGTGGTCATCCTTCACCTTTCTCCCCTTTTCCCTCTTCCTACCCCAAGAAAAACATATCCCCTATAGGGACACATCAATAGTTATGCCTTAATACCATGTAGCAGCATTCTAAGTTTTGATCTCTTAAAAAGCAGCTGCTAAGAACTATAAAAGCCATGAATCTCATCGGTCTTCTCAGCTCAGTTACTGGGAGATGCAAAAAAAAAAAAAAAAAAAAAAAAAAAAAAGCCGGATGGATTTTATTGAAAAAGGCAAGAAAAGCTCTATCTGAAGGACAAATGGAACAAAGATAAGGCTGACTGGGGAATACTTTGCTTGCCAGTTTCATTACACTTTACTTCTTTATGCAACCAACTACTGAAATCCAATATATGAGCAGGAATGGCACATGTTCATGTTATGACATAAACCCTTTTGATTTATGCAATAGACTTATCAAGTGTGGTCTTTTTTTTTTCTTGGCATGTTTTATTCACTGTCCCTCTCCTTCTCCCCACCCCTTTATTTTAACCATCCTGCAATATTTCGTGTTTTTTAAAAAATACTTTATCCTCCATTACTGGGCTGTTAATGGCATCAGACGTGTCAACTATAAAACTCCTTATATAAAACATAAATATTAAAAAAGGAAGAAAGCTATTCCTTATCTTTGTGAAAAAAAAGGCCCCTGAAAGCTTACCTACCATGTTTATAAATGAAACTGTGTCTTTACTTATTCACTCCACAAACATTTACCAAATGCCTGTGTGCCAGAGTCTAACCAGGAAGAACAGAAAAGATGAAACAAGAGAGCCCACCACGATAAATGCTGCCTGCAACAGGGACATTAGCAAGGAATTAAGAGGAACAAACAAGAAAGGAGTAATAACTATCTAGGACAACCTGGAAATGTTTCCCTAATGAGGTATACCACATATGGACACAAAAGAGGGACAAATTACAGTTTCTGAATAGCTGAAGACATTTCAATGGCACAATTTTGATGTAATGCCACCTTTATAACATAATGTAGCATCATTTGACCCTTACAGTTTTAATTCCCATTCTAAAAAATGAGGATCAAGAAGGTTAAGAGTTTTTGTGTTTATTTTCCCCCTGGAATCACATTGGTAGAGAGTAGCAAAGCAGAAACTCCTGGTCTTCTAGGCTTGACGTACTTTTCATTATACCATGGATATGAATTGGTTGTGGGCCACTTACACTGCAAATGCTTTTTTCTGTACTTAATTAATACAAAATATTATACTTGTTATTACCATGATTACAACTACTATAAATTTTCCCTTGCTGACAAGCCAAATGGCTAACTTCAGGTGTTTATATGATCTGCAGCACTAGCCTTTCACATAAGAAGAAGGATTACATGATAAGTGCGTATATCATAAATAGGAATTCTAGTGTCTTCTTCATGGACTAAAATAGGCACATAAGACCAAAAGGCAGTGATCTCTCTTTAAGCCCATACTGCTATATTAATGTCATGGTTTAATGCTTTGAAGTAAAAAATCTTACAAAGGAGATGTATTTATTTTTTTAATTGTCTATTGGTACTCAACCAAAGCAAATAGAAAAACTGTGATGAAAGAATGCCCTATTTTGTCCAAAAATATTCCCACCACCACAATCAAGTATAAGCCTTTCTAAAACTGCAGAGATGGAAAATTCTGCAATATGAAGATATCTGCTTATCTACAAATCTGATCCTTAGTAGAGAGAATAATAAAATATTAATCTCAATCAATCAATATTTTCCTTAAAAGAAAATGGATGATGACTTGTGGGTCTAATTATTCAGTAATACCCCTACTCTCCCTCCATACAATACTATTGTAAGCAATGACTCATTCTTACTCATGAGACCTGAGCAAGGTTTTTCACACGCAAGGCCAAAAAATTCATTAAATGCAGCTCCCATATTACTTATTAACTACAAAGAAAAAAATTGTACCTTAATGGACAAATTTGGTAGACATCAATTTACCCAAGTCATCAAACTTAATATGAACAATAATAGGACAAGTGATAAGTATTTCCCAGTGTGATACACTGACAAAGATACAAATCACCAGCGTAGTATTCCTGCCAAAAATGCCTGATCTGAATTTGGTCATGAGGAGACAATCAGATAAAAAATCTGCAAAATAACAGGGCTTGATTTCCAGAAATGTTAGTGGCATAAAGAAAAAAAAATCTAGATTAAAGGAAAATGGACACCAAGACAAAATGCAATGTGTGATTCTTGATTGGGACAAGACAGTTATAAATGACATTATGAGGACAATAGTGAAACTCTGAATATGGACTCAGTTAAAGACTGTAAATTTTTATCAATTAAATTTCTTAATGTAATAATTTTATTATGGTCATTTTTGAGAATCTACTTATTCTTAGGAGACACACTGAATTATTTACACGTGAATTGTCACCATCTCTATGACCAATTCTTACATGGTTCAGTTAAAAGGCTACTAATAACAATAAATATTCCTATGTATATATTTGCATAGAGATAAAAAATATATAAAATGTTAATCTAGTCGATTAATCTAGATGAATGGTATATTGTAACTCACTGGCCTAACTTCAAATTTTTGTTTTGTTACACATTTACAAAATTACAAATTTGAGGAAATATGCATTAAATGGCAGTAAGTAGAAGGGAAAAATACATTCCATAAAAAATAAACTCATTATATATGTATTTCTAGTCATAATCCAATTGTTAATTTCCTACATGAAAATTATCCTCAGAATGGACCATCTGTAGCAAATGTTTAACCAAGAAGAGTCCTTCACTATACTCCTACCATACACCTCCTCTCCTTACTCTACCTGCTAGCTGATCCATAATTAAGAGATTCAGATCCAAAGTTGAGCCTTCCAAATAAAACCCCCTAAATGAAATAATGTAATACATTCAGAAGTGAAATGACAATGATCTTCATAATATTAACCATTTGGGACTGCCCAGACCAACACTTCCTTCAGTTTGTTCAATCATTAACAGGAAAATCCTTTTATTTTTATAACTGATCTTGAAATAGCCCTCACAATTTCTAAATTATAGAAATTACCTCCATCATTAGGAAAACATTTCCTCTTCACTTTTTCACTTGTAAAATAGTAGTTAAATTGGACAAGAAGAAGTTCCAGAAATATTTAAGTCAGTGGCACCCAAAAAGAAGTCATGAATATGCCCACGAAAGAAATGCAGGTAAGATTCGCAGGCAATTTTTACTTTGCCCCTTTTCAACAATTTAAAAAAAAAAAAAAGTTAATGCAGTGAATGACATCACTCAATCAGCAGCTAACCCCTAGGCTTCCAATGTTCATCTTGCCTCAGGTATTATTTAAGCAATAAATCCTAACAAGGTGAGCCTTATCATCCCACACTGTGTCTCTGACAGGAAAGGGCACAAGGTGATAGCAAAAACCACTAGGAAGAAGATAATTCCTGACAGCTGCTGCTTGAGCACAAGTTAAATTGAACAGTTTATCTCAGCATGAAGATGTTATAAGGTTTTATGTTTAATATTTTTAAATTAACATAAAAACAGAGAAAGCAGTTATGCAATCTTTCACAAACATGACATACTACAATCACTGTATAAGCTGGATTAGTACTTATTACCATGCTACTACAGAATTAAGCTGTTTTTAGACCACCAAAGAGCTTTAAATTGCAACTTTTGTCTCTGTAAGAGAAACCTATATTTAAAATGTCTGCTAAATTCAAATTAACAGCTACACCATTAGCTTATACCATCTCACCAAAAGTCTAAGTAAGCTGCTATTATAACCGTCTAACCAAAATGGCTCTGTGCTGTAAGCCACTGTATCCATATATATGTTTCAATTGTTTCCAATGCACATTATATCTACAAACTGAGGCATATTTGCTCAAGGAATCCAAAATCATTCAACGTAATGAAATACAAGATTAGAGATTTTATATTTTTCTGGCTCAGTTTGAATAAACTAATTATTTGCCTTTTACTCTATTCTCTTAATACATAAAAAGAGATGCTGAAATATACCTAAGCAAGCGTGTGAAGAGTGAGCCACTATTATCACAATGCACACTTTTATTATCTTAAATGGTATGGAAGGGAAGTGAAATGAGAAACAGAAAGTAGGCATTCAATATTCCAACCACCACCATGCAATCTACTAATCATACTTCATGAACTAAGTTATCTCAACTGACTCCGTGAACTCTTTTCAATGGCCCCTTCCACCCCCAAAAACAATTTATCACATTTATCAATAATGGGATACAGTACACAATTTAACACAGATACTGATTTGGGTTGAATTCTCAAATAATTTTTTTGCAGGGCTTCAGTAAGTCTTTGACAAAAGAGTCAATTCCATTCTTCCAGTTGTGTCTCCTTGCTCAGTAACTAAACTCCTTGTCCAGACTCATGTAGCTCGGCCTCATTAACAAAGTCTTTGTTGTTCCACTGCTGCTTATCTTGATTCTTGCTCCTTGATATAGACTGTCTAGAATTCTAGATTCTATACTTTCTGTGGTACAGTGTTTTCTGTGATGATAGAAGTGTTTTGTATCTGTAGTATCCAATATAGTGGCAGCTAGCTACATATGACTATGGAGAACTTGAAACGTAGCTAGCGCAAGGGAAGAACTAAATTTTAAATTGACTATAGCTTGATAATTTAAGCATAAACTAAACAGCCATAAAGTAATGGGTACTGTACTGGAAAGTACAGCTCCAGGTGGACCAAATTTCCTCAATCCAATACTTCACCCATGATACCTGAAAACAATGTCTCACTGAACTGCTTTTCTCATGGAGACCCCTGACCTGCTTGTGAAAACCTAATTTCTAAGTTCCTCCTGACTTGCTGAATTTCATCTACCAGGTTCTCTAATCCTGGAATGGCATTATTTTTTTTTCCTCCTGCTAATGAGAAAGCACACGCTCACAACAGA